GGTAAATAATCGATGAAATAGTTGTCTGGACACATTCAAGTTCCTCTCATGTCACCTTAAAGCTGTGAAAATATGGTGTTAATCCAACGACAATAAGTATAAGTTATTTTTGTTAAAGACTTGTATTTTGAAAAACATAAACTCCTAGAAAACGTCCATGAAGTAACAGCAAAGATTTTCAAGCTTGTTTATCGGCACAATCAATTTGTTTTCCCATCAAGGTCTGTTTTAACATGTGTAGGGACTTCCAAATGTGTAAGGCTATTGGAAACCCAAAAATAAAGGAATGGGATAGCTATAATTGGATAAAATCGGCATATGAAAACACCAAAATCAATGATTTTTTTCAGTGGCTGTGTGACCTTGTGTCTGACACATTCATATGCAAATGACTAATTTGTGAAACAAACAGGGGCGGAGACAAACCACTCAAATGTTTGGAAACACTCATTGTGTGTCAGATAGCTACTGATAACACATCCTAACATTGCTTTGTCTTGAGTTTATCTTTGAAACTTATAGGCACACAGATTAAACCTGTGTTGTTGATTTTGGAAAACACTACTGAGGCTGACTTGCTTCCCTTCAGAAAATCTACATTTTAACCAACTTACATGACATTCTATGTTATGTTGACTTTATCATATGAAAGTTTATAGTGCATTTCATCAATTAATAAATAAATGTGAAAATTGTAATTTTCAACACAAATAATAGTCTCGCTACCTTAAGGCCAGACCAAAAAAATTACTTGTTCATCAGACCCGCGCGCACGTATCATATCACATTTTGGATTATTTTTTTCTGGGGCGTTAACAATTTACTTGACCGTTGGCGGCTCTGTTACGAGACTCTCGCAAAGTACGATACTTCAGGCCGAGAGTTTTCTGTGCGTCCGTCCCCTAAATTCATTCATACGGTCGGTCGGCTGTTCTATTCATGACAGCAACGTCGACTGCTATCTTTTTTTTTTATCTACATTGCATTATCAATTATGTTTCCTGGGTGATGGTTAACACATCGAATAAAGAACTTTATACAAGATGAGTATTAACGTTATAGTCTGTGTACGCCGTGAGAGTGGAAATGTTTGAATGCCAAAAACGTTGATCTCCGTGAATTTGGATCAGACATTTACTGACTTGTTAAACAATGCATACAAAATGACAGTCGATGTTTTCTGCGTAGAGCAGACAGATGTTCCACCACCATTATACGCCAGAATTCCTTTGTAACCACAATATGCAAAATCATATCGGTCGCTGGATCAGAATCGTTAATAACAGAAAATGGCATTTTTTAACCGACAATCGCGAATCACCTGCGATGATGAGGATAAGACAGCATTGGTGTATCGATGAGCTGGTCGTTCATTGTTATTGTACACAGTGATATGTCTGCTATATCTGCATTGTTCGAATGACATGATAAAATTACATAATAATACTTCACTATGGGGAAAAGATGATCTGTAATCATAATTGTATTACAAAATGTATTAAATTTTCAAAATTACAAAACTCGCGCTCAATCAAAGACATGATTTTACACAATATTTTGCTTTTTATGTTAACATGTCCATTATATTTCAGTACACTGAAATCTATTTTTTTTATTCACATGATGCTTACTGTGACTGTTTCATGCAGTGCCTGAAAATCTAGGTAACCATGTGCTGCTTTAGGGTGGTATTACTCATTGTATTAATGCATATGGATTGATTGTAATACAATGTATGGATCTTTGTCAGTCTACCTGACAGTCATACAACATA